TCTATACCTATACCTATACCTATCTATCTATCTATCTATCTATCTATCTATCTATCTATCTGTCTATCTATTTATCAATCTATCTATCTATCTATCTATCTATCTATCTATCTATCTATCTATCTATCTATCTATCTATCTACACACAAACTCACGCCCAGTACAGAAGCAGTCATCCCCTTTGGTCATAGAGACACTCATGTACTGTGCTCTGCATGTCTCGAAGCACCACGGGCTGCTCATAGACGGCGAATTCGATGACGCAGGAGGCAGTGACGTCATTACTCCGCAGCCAATGGTTGCTGGACAAGTCAGAAGGGGGGATAAAATAAATTGTCATTTCTTAAAGGAAGATGTTAGGGGGTTTAGGGAAGGGGAGGTTGGAAAAAGTAGGATAGGGGAAGGGTGGCGGAAAGTGGTTTGTGTGTGCAAGTGTGTGTGTGTGTGTGGGGGGGGGGGGGGGGGGGGGGGGGGGTGAGGGCTTTGGTCTGAATGAGAGACTAGTGTCAGCAGGGGGAGTTTCACGAGCTCAAACGACCTTATGCAGTTGTGAGTGCCGTAAAACACTTACCAAAAACAAACAAACAAACAAACACAAAAAAACAATGTAAAACAGCAAAACTTAATCAACATCTTTAAAACACTCACTGTTACGTCAAGTATTTTTATAACTTATTTTCAGAAACTATTAGAGGATAAAGTGTGCTATTCTTACAAAATCCTAGGCTCGACAACTGATCATTATGAATCTACTGTACACTGATGTCAGGCTGTTTATAAACGCAGCCTGCAGTTCTATGAAGTGACGTGGGTAGCTTAGTGGTTAGGCAACCCGGCCCGTAAGTGAGAGATTGCAGGTTTGAAGTCCGAGCAAGGAAGTTTTACAGAAAGATCCTTGGGTCCGAGCCTCAGCTATGACCAACGTTGTATCCTTGGATAAGGCACTTTACACAATTTCCCACTTTGCTCGGTCCTTTCAGATATTGACATTAAACTCGGAGGTCCTGCCTCTTAAACAGTGTTGATAGTAGAGTTAAACCTATACCACTATTCACCTGTTCATTAAATCAGTGAACAGTGGACTGTGCCGTCTATTTTAAGTGGATGTGGGAGGGAAGAGTGCGTTATGTGTATATGGGTGTGCATATATATGTGCGTGCGTAAACGTGTGTGTGTGCTTGTTTGTGTGCGTGTTTGTGTGTGTGTGTGTGTGTGTGTGTGTGTGTGTGTGTGTGT